CTGCAGGCTCGCGATTTATTTTGCTACTGGGTTTGCACGCCCCGAGGCTCGCATGTCCCAGCAATGGGCAGCTTACGCACAGCGATACAGGTCTCGGAGCAGCTTGGTAGTGTTCCGCGGCCCCATCCTCAGGCATGAGGCATGAGGGAGCGGGCTGACTTCCCACCTTGCTGTAGCTCCTCAATAGAGCCTTGCACATGTGCCCCCCTGTTTTGTACACAGGGCATTCTTCCCACACTCGTTCACAGCAAGAAGTACGACGCCCTACGTGCTGACTAGCAACGGCAGACCCGCACAATGACTCGTACGCTCCATGCGAAAGCGAAGGGCGAACGGAAGCCTTGCCTGCACGAGACTGCACACAAGGAAGAGCACAAGCCTCGTCTGACCTACCCGGTGACCACAGACGCGGTGGACAAAATACACGACACACACGTGTAAAACTAATGAACTTGTGCTAGGGAGATCAGCACTACGCAAGACACGTGTAAGAGAGGGCCAGAGGGCTACTGAGGCTCTACGTTTGGTAAGACCGACGCGGTCTATGTCGTACACGCGGTCTGTTTTACACACGACACGTGTATAGTGGCTACTGAGCCGCTGCAAGGACCGACTCGGTCAACAGCGATTTGGCCTCTATGAAACCTTTTTCCGGTCTAAACGTACACGACCCATGTACAAAAAAGCGGGTCTACGTCCGTAACCCCTCGTGTAGGGGTGCACGGCTTCGCGCTCACACATCGTGAAGACTTCACAGGGACATTGAGAGGAAAATCACCCTTGCAATTCCGGGCGCCTGGGCAGACGCTGCGCTTCTGAAAACAGCGGTGTCGGGGAACGTCCCACGGTAGGAAGGCGGGGGCTGGAACATGAATCCGGGAGTCAGTTCAGGGGAGGCTGTGAGGGGGAGAACTTCCCTTTTGTGCAACGGCGCAGGCCCCGAATGCTCGCAGAACGTCTGCGTGTCAAGCACGGCTTGAACTGGAGATGTTGTGTGAGGCAAGGCCTCGCATTCGTTTTCAGGAACAACAGGCCGAACACGTTTCGACCGAATTTTGACAACTGCAGCCGCGTCTGGAACGTCCAGGCAGCTTTCACACGACTCGCTGTGAGAGTAGTCCCACATTGTTGCAAAACAGAATTGAAAATAACACATGTTGCATTATAGTTCCTCTCTCATTGCTTGGAGAAGGATGTCCTGTTCAACACGCGCCCGTCGAACGTCGATTCGAACATCTTCTGGGTCTGTGGAACGTCCACCAGACCAGGGAAGAAGAGCCACTGCGGACGCTCTTTTCCACGAATGTGCTGAACTTGTATAGGCCCTACGAGAGCCGATGCCCGGAGAGCTGGTATCAGACTCTAGCACGGGGAAAGGTTCTGCACTCCAGGCAAGCGCTGCCTGAGGGATCCTTCAGAATCACCGACTCAGACTCCTCAAGCCACGAATGCTCAAACCGCGGCGGGGGAGCTGGGTGGGGTATGTACCCAAATCCTAGAAGTTTTTCCCGTACGGTGCAGGGGCACGTTGTTACAGCGGTTTGGCTGTTTGTGGAGACGGCGCAGACCGAGAAGGTCTTGGCAGAGGGTTCCGTAGCCACTCAACATGGGTCACGTCTTGCGCAGACCGGGTACGTCTCAACAGAGGCTCCGTAGTTTGTTCGTTCTGACACGAGTCACGAGTCGTGTCTCAAAAGAAACCGGGCGGCGCTTGGCAGAGGCTCCGCAGACGCTTGACATGAGTCAAAGCTGCTGCAGGCCGGGCCTTGACAGAGGCAAAGGCAGCCTATTTGTTTTGACACGGGTCGTGTCTAGTGCGGACCGGGCAGGTGTTGCGGAGGCTCCGCAACCACTCACACTGTGTCAGAGGCTCCGTACAGCCATTTTGACTCAAAATGTTTAAGCTTGAAGCGGGTAGCTTCTTCTTTCTGGGCGGGTAGCCTTGTAGCATTAGCAGTGCGCGGTAGCCTATCTTGCCATTGGTCCGAAGTCCGCACCTCAGCCTGTAGCGTCTAGAGTCTTATATAGGTGGCTCCCCGTGAGGAAATTTGCCGTGTATCATGTACTTGTTCATGTATGTTTTATAAACTATGTTCGTGCGTCATTTTGGCTCTAGAGTGGTGCTTGCTAGCGAGAAAGTTAAGTTTTTTGTCACATTCTTGCTTGCATGTGAGTCGCATTTGCTTTGGTCGTCATACAATATTTTGCGGTAGCTTTGCATTTTACACTACCAGTTTTGAACCGTTCTCCGGGGGTGAGCGGGAACACTCCACAAGTGAGTGCATGGAAGAGTCGTGTGCCCGACTTGACAGTTCGCCGGCACAGCTGCAGTTGCAAATCCACGAGTTGCACAGCCAGATTGAGCATCTTAGATCTTATACGGCTTTTTTGGAGCAGCGCTTGCATCGTATTGAGCAGGAAGATCAGAGGGTTCGCCGGGACCTGCGTGGCCAGAGAAGCACCTCTAGCATAGGTTGCCTTTCGGTTCGGCTCTTGCACCTTGAGAGTTGCTTCAGCTTTCTTGTGCGTGCAGTTCAGAACAGCTTCCCAAGGCCTCCAGGTTTTTGGCAAAGCTTGATTGAAGACTAGAGGGTTGCAGGATGAAACGCCCGACGGATCCTGATGATAAGCACTTCAGTAAAGCAAAGAGCAAGTGTGCACCACCACCCCTGGGGGGGCTTGCGCTACCAGTTGACAAACCTAAAGGAACCGCTCCCCCTCTGCCGGCGGCAGGTCTTGCCCAGCCTTTGTACTCCCAGGGACGACGCATTGAGCCAGTTCCACGTGCCGGGCAACCTCTGCCCGTTCCTGTTGCGGCATCCAGCAGGAGCAATTGTGATTCCGATGCTGAAGAAGAATCAGCCAGACACTTTGCCAGGTTTCGGCAGTCCTTCGCAGAATCCAACCAACAGCGGCAAAGTACTTCATCGTTTCTCTTGAAAGCTGCCCCGAAGCGAAAGCCAGCAAAGGCGGCCGATCCCCACCATCCCAAGTTCCAGCAGATTGCAGGTTTCTCCCAGATGGCCTTGTCACTGTTTTGGGGTGTGCTTGTTTTTATGGGTGATTGTAGTGGATTGTTCAAGCAGATTCAGTGCTCCGAATTTGCCAGTCATCACACCTCGCGAATTCTTTCCGGGTATGCCACGAACACGGTGCTCCGTTACCTGGCAGCTTGGTCACACTTTGTGGCGAACCTTGAAGGGCTAGGCCTCTGTTTTGGCAATCTTGATAGTGTTATGATGGCAGACATACTAGTCACCATGTCCCTTGAGAAGCATGGAGACCCTACTCTGGGTTCAAGCTGTTGCATGACAATCAAAGCACTTCGTTGGCTATGCAAAGTCGCAGAATGTACAATCTTATCGTGCGCGTATGAAAAAGTGATTGATTCTTTTCTGAAGTCAAAAATTCCTCGTGAACGCCGTGAGAGTTTCCCACTACCCACTTGGGTGCTCCAGCTGTGGGAAAGACGCATCTTGATGAAGCAGGCATCATTCCTTGAAGTGGTTGTGCTTGGTGGTTTTTTGGTTGCTGCCTGGGGTTCATTGCGATTTGCAGATCTTCAACGTGTGGAGTGGAGTTCATTATCTTTTGATTTACATGTCCTTCGTGGTACGTGTTATGCGACCAAAACATGTCACACCGGGCAGCCCTGGGGCATCCTTGCGTCAGGTATTCTGTCTCGTGGGACGCATTCTTGGGTTAGCAAATACCTGCATGCCCTTGACAGGCTAGCTACAATGCATGTTCGAAACCACCCAGATTCGTGGCTTCCATCGTTCTTGCTTCCAGCAGTGCAAGGCGACAGCTTCATGTTGCCCCTGCAAGCTATGAGCTATGCTGAGGCGCTGAGGTGGTTGAGGCATTTTCTCCTCATGCCTTGGGCGTCCGCACCACCAGAGGTACCGCCCCTCAATTTCACAGTGCACAGTCTCAAAGCCACTATGCTTTCCATGTCCCTTCAAGTCAATGTTGATGAGGTTGATAGGAAACGTCAAGGGCACCACCGCATAAGCAGCTCCGCTCTTTATTCCCGTGATGATGTTCATGGCATGCTTCGGTGCCAATCTTGCATTCGTGATAGCATCCGCACAGGCTTCCGATTTTTGGTCCCCCAGCACAGAGGAGGGCAGCAGCCCTTGACACCAGCGTACATCCCGCCGGAAGCCTTCTCTAAGGACTACGAGTTTGAACCCTTCCAGTGGTTCTCGTTTCAACTTGACGGCAGTGACGATTTGCTTCAAAGCAGTAATGGGAGTTGGGAGGTCGCAGAAAATCAAATAGTCACCCCTGATCCAGATATAGAGGCGCTGGACAAAGATCTCGTGTACCACTCCGACCCAGGATCTTCAGATGAGAGCGAGGAGGAACCTTCGGCACCCCCGGCCGAAGAGCACGACTTAGGTGAGCCTGAGGAATTCTTGCTGGGCTCCTGCACCGCGGTGTTGCATGTGCTCTGCCCTTCAGATGCTTTGTCAGGCACTCTTGTCAATGGGACATATATGCGTGCAAAGTGTGGTGCCACTCTTCCGGCCGATCGGCTCATGATCCACACGTCAGTGCCATCTTCGTGTCGGTTGTGCAGACGCAGTGCATGCTTGGCAGCTTTATCTTGTTGTTCCGAGGAGTGAGCTGGAATGTTCGAGTCAGAAAAGTGTGGTTGTTGTTTTGCGTATGCATCAATGAAAACGCAGGCTGTCATGTTGCACATGTCCACCAAGGGTTAGATTGTTGCTATGATCTTGACATGCTTTTGGTGTTTCTGCAGGCAGGCGCTCGATTGGGCTAGCAAATCCCCAAGGCAAGATCTTTAGGAGTGTAGCGTCTTGCAAGAGTTTCACGTGGTATTCAGAAGATGCCCAGGAAGTCTCGTACATGTCAGCTTCGTTGCTTAGCATGCTCATCTAGCTCACGAGAACAAAGCTTTGTCTTCCTATCTAAGAATCACATATTGGTCTAGCGCTAAACACCAACATTAGCCCTGCGGTATCTTGCATGTAATGGCTGATTCCGAGTTGGAGAGTGCACTGGCGAAGGAAGGCTTGGCAGCAGAGGTCATCAAAGTGGCCACGGAAGGGGGCTGGACAGCCTCGGCGTTCAAACACGTTGTTGAAACTCAGGCAGAAGTTGAGGGAGCCATCCCCGAGATCTTCCCAGGTCAGATTTTGTCTCGGTTGCAGATAGCCCAGATCAAAGCAGCGTGGGCGGGCATGCAAACATCCAGTTCCTCTAGTGCTCTACCGGCCCCTGTCAACGCAGATCCTACTTTGGAGACATGGGTAGAGAGTTTTGCTCCCAAAATTGCATCCACGAAGCTGTCCGAAATGAAGCGCCAATTCCTTGCAAATTACCCAAGTGAGGTCTTGAATCCATCTACTCTACCCTCTTTGAGGCTGATTTCCCTCGCAGCTCATCAAGAGGCACGTTCGGAGTATAAATGGATAGCTTGGAAACATCGCATGACGGAAGAGAAAGCTTCGGAGTTGTTAATAGCCAGACCCCACAAACAGCCCAAGCTCGAAATGCTGGGTCTTTCCAGCTTGCTCCTTGATGATCCGCCTACAATCGAAGTGACCGATGCCAATATGGGTATCAGTGGCATCCAGCGAATCTTGGCAGTGCATGACGTTGCGTTGGCCATGGTTGGCTCTGCTCACCTTGCCCGCCTTAAAGCCTACAGCTGCAAGTTCGTCCAGCTTGTGTCCCAGCGTTTCGACCCAACATCAGGCCTGCGTGCACCGACAATCCTAGAAGCGCAACAGGCAGATTGTCGGATTTGGCAGAGCATCCATTCTTTAGTCAGTGAGAAAGCTTGGAGCTTGAATGACGCGTTGCATGAGTTCACTGAAATCAGAGGTGAGCTTAGCACCTTGCTGCAGGCTCGTCCGAAAGCCTTGTTCATCCCCCGCGGCCCCGATCTCAAAGGCAAGGGGAAGCAGGTCGGCCAATGGAAAGGCCTCGGCAAGGGCCAGGGCAGGGGCAAAGAAAAGGGCGGTAAGCCCAGGGCGCTCCAGGGAGACACATCACCTTCGTGAAAGAGATCCAAGTGGGATCTGAGAAGAAAGGGCTGTGTGTCCAGTGGCAGATTGGCCGCTGCACAAGGGGAGGCTCCTGCCCCTTTGTTCATGCATGTGCATACCCCAAGCAGGATGGATCAGCGTGTGGGAGCAAGTCGCACACAGCCTCTCAGCATGAACAGACGCCTCACTGATTCGAACCTACCCTTGTGCCGTGGCAAAGAATCCCGAATTCAGATTTGCAGTCTACAGAGGTATCACCCCCAGATGCCCCGCATCCTTTGCAATCTCACACTGAGCCAGTTCAGTCACACCCTTTGTCGCCTTGTATGTCAGTATCACCTCAACAGCCTCTTTCAGCAAAGCACCAGGCAGGTGCAAATCGTGTTGCTGGGTATGATATCCAGCCGGCAGCTCGGCCAGCCGAGCCTGTAAATGTGCTTCCGAAATCGGTCTCCTTGTTGGAGACAAATGCTGGGCCTGTGTCGTCGCCAGCAGTGCAATGTCCTCAGGGCAACATCCCTTCACAACCCGTGTTGGGTGATGTCACGTGCAACATGCCTGGTCGTTCCAGGAATGAGGTAACACCCGGGCAGGTGGGTGTTACACATGTTGCAGAAGAAGGTTCCTCATGCATACATGACTTTAAGTCCTGTCTTCAGGCATTACTTTCTGCCTCTTGGCCTCCACGCGTGCTTCCCGCCAGGAGCGTTACTTCAGCGGCTCCGGGGGAATCGGGATACTGGAACTTTGGGGTGCGCCTAGGGAATCCTTCGGCCCGTTCATCAGTTACGGATGCACTCCCACAACTGTGTGCAAGCCTTAATGGGTTCTTGTGCCAACTGTTCCCAGGTGAGACTTGGAATGCCTTGTGTGTCAGCAGGAACATTTTGACGTCCCCGCACAAGGACACAGCAAATTTGCCGGGGTCGTCAAATTTGACAGTGGGGATAGGTCCTACTCGGATGGAGGCCTTTGGGTCGAGGACCAAGCAGGCACTGTACCGCAGTTCATCCCCAAGCTTGGGGTGACTCTCCCGGGCAAGATCGTCACAACGCATCATGCGCCGTTTAAGTTCCCCGTACACCTTTGGCACTGCACCCAACCGTGGCTTGGCGATCGATGGGTGCTGACTGCCTTTACCCTCCCAGGCGTGTCAGGTGATACACTTAAGGGTTTGGGTTTCCCTTGGCCCCAGCCACGAACCAAGCCCCCAGCTCCGGTTACTACACCCGAACCCTGCCCCCCTTCTCAGCAGGCAGTTCCTAGCTTGGAGGTTAATTGGGGAAAGCCTTCTCCAAAGGGGTTTGCTCACCACCGCTTGATCTTGCAGCCCCAAATACCTCGCCCACCACCATCCTCGCCTGCCATAGTTCAGTCAGCGCTACAGCAGTCTTCGAGGATCTTCCTGGACATTTGTTCGGGCGCAGAGAAGCCTCTATCTTCAGCGGTGCAGGAGTTAGGCTTCCCAACACTTGCAGTTGATATCCTGTTGGATAGCAGCATGGACATTCTCGATAATACCTTTTTCGAGCAGCTCTTGTTCATCTGTGGCTCAGGTGTTGTGGGGTATTGTGCGGCATCCCCTTGCTGTTCGGAATACTCCCGCCTGAAACTCTTTGGAGGTCCGCCCTTTGCCATCCGCACACCAACCCAGCTAGGGGGCCTGGAGAACCTATCCCCATCAGCCCAGGCTCGTATACAAACAAGTCACGAGATGCTTTTCAGGGCGTGCAAATGTCTTCAAATCGTCCATGGGGCCGGGGGCCATGGCCATTTGGAGCAACCTTCAGGTGCTATGTCCTGGGAAGAATCGTGCGTTCAAGGCTGGTTGCACTGTGGGTCTACAGCCCTCATTGTCCTCCCGGCCTGTGCTTTTGGGGAGAACTGGGCAAAAACTTGGCTGTTTGCATCGAGCTTTCAAGCCCTGTCCGTGATGGGGCAGACGTGTCAACACGGACGCAATGCACATGAGTCCGTGCAGGGACGTGAGAGTGATGGTTCGTTCAAAAGTCGTAAGACCGCTAAGTACCCCCAATGCCTGGCGGAAGAATTCGCGTTGCACATCAGGCCGCTTCTTGCAGGTGCACAGATTGAACACACTCTTGCCACCGCGTCAGCTTTAGTACCTGTCAAGGCCCTGGATGTTGGACCGTGGGTAATCCACGATGGGGCAGGTCGCCACTCTTGTGGGGATTGGAGCACCCCATTGTGCCAGGATAAGCTCAAAAATCTTCGGACATACCTTCTGGGGAAAGTTTGTGACATGCAGGGCCCCAAACGCCTGCTTGCTAAAGCCACTTGGCCCAATCCTGAACCCCTCTTCACCGCTTCGGAGGTGCAAGATGCGCGCAAAGACTTCTTCTCCTGCTTAGGTGTGGCAACAGATGCAAATACATGGAAGGTCCGTGAGCATCAACCCTTGCATCTGCATGCGCTTGAGGCACTTGCCTGTTTTTGTGGTGATCCAGATGTGAGTCTTTGCAAATCCCTGTTGCAAGGCGTCCCCACGGGGTACAACAACGATATCCCAGTGTCAAATTGTTTTTGGCCGAATCAAAAAGAGAACCTTGAGGATGTATCATTGTCCATTCACATGCAGAATTGGCGCTCGGCCTCAGTGGATTTGTCCGTGACCCAAGCCTTGCTGCAGGAGGAGTTAGATCAGGGTTTTTGCTTCAAGTTTGATGGCGACATTGAGGCAGCTAAGGCAAAGTGGCCGGGTACACTGGCAATAGGCAAGCTCTCCGTGGTCCGTGCGCCCAATCGTTCTGAGAGGTTGGTCTTAGATAATTCAGTGTGTGGCACGAATGCAAGTTGCAGTGTTCCAGAAGTCCAGCATATGCCATCAGTGAGGGACGTGATGCACTGTTTCCCCCTTCGGGGCACCCGCTCGCGGCAAGCTGCCATTTCTCTTGATGTCAAAAGTGCTCACAAAAGGTGTGTTGTCAAGGAGTCCGAGCAGGGTCTCCTAGGTTTCGCTTTCGCAGATTCTCTGTACTTCTATCGCGTGGCCCCATTCGGGGCGGTCTTTGCACAGCATTGGTGGGGGCGCTTAGGCTCCTGCCTGCTTAGGTTGTTGCATATCTTGATTTGGTTCAGCCATGCAGGCCACTTGTTTGTGGACGACTACTTATTCTCTCAGGCGGAAGCCGTCTTACCAGCAACAGGGGCGATGATCTGCCTCTTCTTTCAGATTCTGGGGGTACCTTTGAGTTGGAAGAAACTTCAGGTTAGTTCTCGAGTTCAATGGATAGGGTGGTGTTTCTGTTACACCTCCGGGGTAGTGTCGCTTGCAGAGGAAAAAAGGTTAAAACTTTTGGGGATGGTTCAAGATCTTCAGCGTAATCCAAAAATTTCCCGTAAGGATTTGGAGAGGTTTGTCGGGCTTGCTCTTTGGGCGGCACACCTTTTCCCGACAATGAAGTCGCTTCTGTACACCTTCTATCATGATCTTTTCAGCCCGGCTGCTACCAACTACTCGGTGGCTCCAGACGTTTGGCCACAGCTTCGTCACCACTTGACGGATTCCCTGCAATTCAAATCGGTTCCTCCAGGTACAGCAATTCCGCTCCACAGTACACTTTTGTCAGTCCGACATCAGGATTTGTCATCTTTGGCTGACTTGGATCGCGTGCGCATTACAGACAGGCGGGTTTGGATGCGCGTCTCAAGTCAGTCCAGTTCGAAGAGAAAGTTGAGCACCGAGTCAGTGCGCATTTTGGGTTTGTTCGAACATTGGCTTTTGCATATGTGCCCATTCTGCAGCATGCGCCCCTTAGGCAATGCATCCTTTGAGGCAAGAGCAGATGCAAGTGCACATGGCTCGATGTGCTGCATTGGTGGGTACGTTTCTCACCCCATGATAGGCCAGCGTTGGTTTCGCGAAAGCTTTTCCTACAGTGCCTTCCGGGCCCTTGAGATTCCAGTGCAAGCAGACATGCAGCTTGATATTGCTTGCTATGAAGCGCTCGCCCAGGGAGCGCTGATCTTGGCAACATCTTCTCTTTTACCTTGCGCCAGAATCCCCTTGCAGCTACGTTCCGCATCAGACAACACAGGTGCAGAGGCAGGTGTGAACGCTTCCTTCTCCACCGCTCGGCCTCTCTGTTTTTTCCTGGAAAGGATTTCTTTGCTGGCAGCTGTACATAGAACAACGCTGGATGTGTCACACATTTCCGGGGAACGCAATGTCAAGGCTGATGCCTTGTCTCGTCCTGCTGAATATGAAGTTCCCCCTGACTGCCTGGAAAAGGATAGAGTGCGGCTGTCACTCGAGGCCCTTTGGTTGCCTCGTCCAAACATTTCGGTTTTCCCCGAAGGGGCTCACCTTCCATGGTCTGTGCGGAGCAGGGGAGTGCCGAACAACCTCACTTAAGCTTGGGGTTTTCTCCGGGGCGAGGTTGCTGGGTAGTTTAATTTGGGGTAACTTGGTCCCACCCATCAACCTGTTGTGTGCATCGTTAGCTGTTTCCTCGAGTGGACGTTGGTGAGGATTTCCGGCACTCCAGAGAAAACAAAGCGTGGAGCGAAGCTCGTAGCCTTGTGAAGCCTCCGGCTATACCGCTAGCAAGCACAACTAGTTTATAGAACGTATCATGTACTTGTTCATGTATGTTTTATAAACTATGTTCGTGCGTCATTTTGGCTCTAGAGTGGTGCTTGCTAGCGAGAAAGTTAAGTTTCCTCACCCACCCACCCCAATTTTTGGGGTTCCCTGTCTCACTGGCACTGGCCAGAAGAACAATCAAGACCTCGTTACAAGAAAGTGGGCTCTCGGGGCGGGCCGTAGCACAGTACCTGTATTGCAGGTAGTCTCACTTGTATGCATCTCTTTTGGAGAAAGCCCATCTGGGCTTCTGGGTTCACACTTGCACAGTCATGTTTCTTGTAAGGGCGGCTGAAAAAGCTGTCTGGTGTCAGTTTTCTCCGTACAGGCCATATCTTGCTTTGCAGTATGCTGCGAATGACCGGGGCGAAACCGTGTTAACCTTAGTGTTTTTCACTTACCTTTTCTCGTGTTGTCAAAGTGTTGCTTCGGTCTGTCATGGGTGGGGTAACTTGGTCCCACCCATCAACCTGTTGTGTGCATCGTTAGCTGTTTCCTCGAGTGGACGTTGGTGAGGATTTCCGGCACTCCAGAGAAAACAAAGCGTGGAGCGAAGCTCGTAGCCTTGTGAAGCCTCCGGCTATACCGCTAGCAAGCACAACTAGTTTATAGAACTCGCCAAAAACCGAAACTTCGCCCCATAGACGACCTTCACGAGAATGAGGTCAACTCCTGCTTCTCAAGTCCTTGTCTGCCATGGACCATGCGTTGCGGTCTGCGAACCTCTTGGCTGCTTGCCTGAGTAAGAGTCTGTAAAGTAGCCTGATCGGGACCCCTACCCCTCGGCGACGGGGACAGGTACCTATGCATAGGCAGGGAAGGTTAGGGGTCTTAGGACATAGACCCGAACCCCTACACCCTACACCCTAAACCCTAAGCCTGAGCCCTAAAAACCCTTATCCCGAAACCCAAAACAGAAACCCTAGTCCTAAAAGACCCTAAACCCTAAATCCAGCCCTAAACCCCAAAAAACCTAAACCCTAAAAAAAACCCTAAGCCTTAAACCCGTTAAAAAAACCTAAACCCTAAACCCTCAAAACCCCTGAACTCTAAACCCTAAAAACCTTGCCTAAACCCTAAACCCTAAACCCTAAACCCTGAACCCTAAAAGAACCCTAAAACACCCAAAAAACCTAAAAACTGCTAAACCCTATAAGCCCTACACCCTGAGAACCCCTGAGCCCAAAACCCACCAAGCCTAAACCCTACAAAACCTCAACTTGAGACCCCGAAGACCCTAGCCCCTACACCCCTAAGCCTAAACCCTAATCAATCCAAACCCTTAAAAACCCTCAACCCTACAAACCCTAAACATAAGCACTTGTTTTTTCAAACCCATCACGCGAGCATTTGCGCAAACGGGGCCCCGCCCGCTTAATTCTTTTCCGAAGCCATCATGCGAGTGTTGCGTTTGCAAATAAGCCCTAGTCCCTAACCCCAAAAAGCAACCCTAATCCCTAAAACAAACCCTAAACCTTAAACCCTCAACCCTGAAACCTGAACCCTAAGCCCTCAACGATAAACACTAAAAACCCTAAACCCCAAACCCTAAACCCTAAACCCAGCCCTGTGCCCAGAAAAATCCCTAAACCCTAAAAACCCCTAAAACCCCAAACACTAAAAACCCCTAAGCCCTAAAAATGATCGAGCTGGCTTGCACGCTAAAGCTGTCTTTCTGCATCTTCCCGAAGTGATCTCTTGCGCTCATAACCTCACGCTGACCCACATCAAGCTGCAAACCCAACGAAAGCTGAGCGCCGCCCTGTATTTACGTTCCGTCTTTGATCAGTTTCCTTAGATCTCCAACTGTCTGCAAGTGCAAGATGGCGGTTTCACGCTATCACCACCGGACTCCACCACAATCAATCGCTGGCCTAAACCCTTAAAAAAATCCTAAGCCCCAAACCCTGAAAACCCTGATTTCTAAACCCTCAAACCCTAAACCCTAAAAACCTCTCAACTTCAAACCCCCGAAAACCCTAAACCCTAAACCCTAAAACGCCTTAATAGGCATGTTTTTACAAACCCATCATGCGAGCATTGCGTATGCAAATGGGGGGGCTGCGCCTCCCCCCAACCCCCCCCGCTTTAAGCGTTTGTTGGTGCTCGCAAATGGAAGGGGCGGGGGCTTAAAATCCCCAAACCCTAAACCCCAAAAACTCTCAACCCCAACCCCAAGAAACCCCAAAACTTTTTAAAGCCTGAAAAACTCTGGCCTAAACCAAAAAATCTAAACCCCAATAAAACCTGAGCTCGAAATAAAACCTCTGAACCCCCAAAAGCCTACAAAAAACCCTAAACTCGAAACTCGCTAAGCACAAACCATGGGGTGTTGATCTGTGAGTTTGTGGGTGGGGTCTAACGAAATTGGAGCCTGTAGACAAGAGAGCCGCATAGGGAGGTGGCAATAACTGGGCTGTTATTAAAGTGGGCGTCTGTCAACAGCCGTCCTGGCCGTGGAGACATGTCTGTGATGTCAGCTTCAACCCAGCTGCCGCTGCAAAAAGCTTGTAGTCTAAGCAGCACCAAAGGTCCGAATGGGCGTGTAGTACTGTGTGTAAGTTCTTCGATTCAAAGATGGATTGTACATCAGTTAAGCAATATTTTTATATGCGACATTCAATAATTTTGGTAAGGTTGGATAGCATATATCTGAACGCGAGCGTTCCGTTGGTTTATCAAATCGCCTAACAGCAAAATGCGAAGCACTCTTCCGCTTTGTTTACTGGGAAATCTTCGCAAGCAACAATCACAACAACCACAACAACAACCGCAACACACAACCCAACAACCACCAAAACAACCACAACACAACCCATTTTTACGCATGTGCGAGGTACGTCCGCACCTTGGCGGGCATCGAGAATGACGAAACAGCTGGTTCTAGTGAGTGGAAAGCAGCTGGGCACACAACTTTGAAACCAGCCAAGGTGGAACGTATTCCACACAGCGTCTTAAAATGAAATGTTGTGGTTGTTGTTACGCAACCTGTAAGTTTATTGCAGCAGCGGGACTGGCTGCAGAAGTCACTTTCCAACTAGAAGCGGGGTCCCAGCTCTTCTGTTGTTGCTTAAATTGCCAAGAAGTCGAGTTAGGTCTTCTCCTGATATTCTTTCCACACTTGCTGCACTTGCTACAACAGCAATGCTACTTTTTTTGGAAATTGTGAAAAGAGGATGAGCACAAACTAACCTGGTGTTCTTCAAACTCATGCGTAAGGTGTTGCAGTTCTGTTCATGTGAAAGTTCCTGTCTAAGGACATGTTAACTTTGTTGTCCTGCTGGCTCAGAGTTGTGTGTGTGAAGTGCTTGAGTTGTAGGGATGTGTGTCTGGAAGCTGTAGAAGTGACTGTGCACGTTTTTGCTTGCTTGAGGTGTAGTTGGGTGGGTCCCGAGAACTTCCACTGACGTTTTGAGTTTGTTTTGTGGCTGTGGAGAACACGTGGCAGAGCAGAGTTTTCACCTGTGTGTAAAGAGTTTCACTGACGAAGCCTCCGGCTTATGACTTTGGCTCAAGTTGTGAGAAAAAGAGGGTTCAGCGCGCTGCTGCTGTGTTTTCACATGGTAGCGGAGCGTGTGTAGCACGCTCGTAGAAACCCATGGCTGACCCCGGGCTGTCGACCCCTGTGCCTGAAGACGAAGACGACGAAGCTTTGTTTGGCCCCGGTGGTGCCCAGGACGGGCAACAACCGCCAACACAACCCCCTGGAGCTTCTGCTTCAACGGGAGGACCCGCCACGGTCGTCGGACTTGACCCTCAACTCCAGCAGATGATGGTCCAGATGATGCAGAGTCAGCAAATGATGATGCAGAATCAACAACAGACACTTCAAGTTTTGGTGGCAAAGATGGAGGCCGACGAGAGAAGAAGACGTGAGCAGGAAGCATTGTCTGCAGCTGTGAGCAACCCATTTGGGGGTGCTTCAAGTGCAGAGCTGCTGGAAGTCCTACGGCAAAGGCTTCTTCTCCTCCACCGGCGCCATCACAGAACCTGCATGTTGGAAGTAACCGTGCAGAGAAGTATCTGCCAGCATTGCCGCTCATCGATAATGTGTCGATGGGAAAAGGGCGTGTGAGAGAGCTGGAGGAGTACCATCGGTGGTGCGAGGTGCTTGCTTCCTGGCTGGCGTTGATAGACGACAACTATGTCAATGAGTTACGCCAGGCAATGACGCATGACCGTGAGATCAAGCAGTCTGACATGGCAGTTCCGGTAGCATCGCGTTCGGCAAGGTTGTTTTACTACCTGCAACAAAGTCTGCAGAAGTTCGAACGTGGGATGGAACTGGTGAGAAGCACGTCGATGCGTCAAGGACAAGCTGCTTGTGGTTATGAGGTGATGCGTCAAATGCACCAGACCTTCAGCATTGTCTCTCGCATGGAGGCCATTGCTGTGAGAGATGAAGCCCTTCGCCTAACTTCGAAGGCGAGTTCGTACAAGCGACCGCTTGACTGCGTCCGCTTCCTTGAGGACGAGCTTGGGAAGGTAGACCAGAAGCTGCATCGGTTCCCTGAACTGAGGCTTGGAGCATCTGATCGTTCAACCCTTCTTCTTCAATCTGTCAGCCCAGAGTGTAGGCATTACGTTGTCCTGCATGGGAAGTCTGGGAGCTGGGAGGAACTGGTTGAAAGCATCCGGTTCTACGAGGAGCAAACCCGATTGTGTGATGCTGGTTCGCTGAATGCAGTTGGGGAGCGCGGCCTCTGCTGGAACTGTGGCAAATCAGGCCATATGAGTTGGCAGTGCCCCGACAAGAGCTCTGGCAAAGGGAAGAAGAGGGATGAACCGAAAGGTGGCAAGCCTTCTGGGTCCAAGAATCGAGAGAAGAGCCCTAAAGGGAAGGGCAAAGGCAAAGGGAAGACAGACAAAGGAAAGGGTGGAAAGCCCAAGGGGAAGCCAAAGAACAAAGGAAAGCCCAAGGGCCGAGCTGTGGAAGACGAGCAGTCTGATCAGGTGATGGCAATGCGGTCTCATCATCTGAGTGGCTTGGGTCCGGGGACAAGAACTAATGAGCCCAATGAAGCTGAGCCCCCTCGTCTCACCATGACGAACGGAGAGATCGAGAGACTGAACCAGTCCTCCTCTAGGAATAGCTCTTTCGCATGGCTCATTGATAGTGGAGCCACCTGCCACGTGTTGTCAGAGAGTGCGTTGGGTTTTTACGAAGTCGTCAAGGAGCATTCGGGACCTCTTCCTGTGCTCATGAGTGCTAGCGATACGCCCATGGAATGTGTCAAGTTGGTTGACATTCGGGTGAAGTTTGGGAAGTTGGGGCCCGTAGTGCTTCAACAGGTCTTGGTTTGCAAGATTGGTTTCAACGTAGTCAGTTCTTGGCAAGCATCCCTTTCGGGATGGAGTACCTGGCTCACCTCAGAGCGTGGAGCAAGCTGCTTGGTGAAGCAGACGGAACGAGGTTCCTCGATGTGGGTGCCTTTGGTTCGTGAAGCCAGGAGCTGGTGGGCGTTGGCTAAGGAGATTGGCCCTACCAAGGCAAAGCCGAAAGGAAGAAGAAGCAAAGGGGACTCACCCAAGCCGGGGTGGAGCCCGAACGACGACGCGATGGAAGTGGATAAGGTGCAGAAGAAGGCACCGCCCAACGTAGGAAGAGCATTGGAGGTGACACCTTTTAAGTTTTTGCTGCGAGCATTTTCAGTGAAGCAACATGTGGGGGAACACGAGCTGCATGAGCATGTTTTACAGGAGCGTTTGAGTGGATGTGAGCATGCTGCAGTTGCAAAAGTAGGAGTAGACCTGGA